ATTTCGAATTTTGTGATGATAAATAGTTGAAATCCATACAATTAATAAATACAATAAAATTTGGTGTCGTAAAATAAAAATGTATAAGAGATAAATACTTAAGGGTTTGATTATGATGTGGGAAAGATATGATATCGGAAAAACTTACAACCAATCAAGTGGCATTATAAAAGTAGGAACCTATCAGGTGGGTTTTCACAAAAACTCACAAGGGGTTGTGATTGGTTAAAGCCTTTCCAGCAAGGTTGAAAAAATTATGTTTCAACATTGCAAACAATAATCTAGTCTGTTTAATGCCAAATGATATCCAACTCTGTAAAAAATTATCTAGTCTATGCAATGCCGGATGGTTTCCAACTCTGTAATAAACCATCCGGTCTTCTCCGTATTGGATGGTTTATACACTTGTGAGAATCATATACCATTTTATGGAATGTTGGGCTTTAGATGATTTTGAGGGTGTATATACTATTTTATCACATGAGGGGCTGAAATTTACATATGTAATTGAAGATTCAAAACTGCAATAAACCATCCGGTCTGTGCAATGCCGGATGGTTTCCAACTCTATAAAACACCATCCGGTCTGTGTAATGCCGGATGGTTTCCAACTCTATAAAACACTATTTGGTTTGTGTGATGCTAGATGGTTTCCAACTCTATAATAAACCATCTAGTTTGTGTAATGCCAGATGGTTTCCAATTCTATAATAAACCATTCGGTCTTCCCCATGTTAGATGGTGCATAAATCTGTTAAACACCACCCAGGTTGCTCCATACCAAATAGTGTAGGCACAAAATCCGTTATTGTTGTTGACCATATAAGTAGATATGTAGTTTGGGTATTAATAAGAGAGATAAGTATTATGAGCTTATTCAGCAGTCCTGCTATTTTAGCCAATTTGGCATTACCATTCACCACTTTCCTCTAGTATACTTGCATTGAAGATGGAGTCGGTGCTTCCCAGTCAGCCGTAGTTTGAATTGATGGAGTTGATGCTTCCCAACCAGATGGATTCGACACTTCCCAATTTGAAGTCATTTAAATGGATGGAGTCAATGCTTCTCAGCCAGCTGCAGTTTGAATCAATCGAGTTGATGCTTCCCAACTAGATAGGTGGAGCCGATGCTTCCCAATTTGAAGTCGTTTGAATGATTGGAGTCGATGCCTCAAGCCAACTGCAATTTGAATGGATGGAGTCAAATTCAAACTTAGAGAAGACGAATGAAACATGAATGCTTTTTGGATTCGATGGATTCTATTTTTAACAAAAGGGTAACTTTGTCCTACAAGCTTCATGTTTTCTCCCGCTCACTCAATTTGCTATTATTTCTAAAATATAATTGAAATTGTCAATTGACTAAAGTCATTTTTTTTCCAAAAAGTCCTTATTACTACTACTAGGCTTAGTTGAGTCATTTTTTTTTAGGTTGTGGGGCCCAATGATGTGACTAGGATGAGCCTGGTGAGATAGAAAGAATCCTAGCTTTCCTTAGCCTAGTGAAGTGAAGTCTACATAATAGATTGAGTTTGATAGGATTGGTCTTTTTTTAGGTTATAAATGTTGGCTTTCTATTGGCAAAAGAAAAGGGGGGGGGGGGACGGGGGAGTTGACATTTGGCACATCTGAAACATTCTTTGCCATGGTACATGCTTTGCCATGGACAAAAGACATTTTGACTCTCCCAATTTGCTTATAATAAGAATGCCGAGAGAGAGGTGTTAGATAGTGTATGTCCTTAGCTCCAATCAGCATGATGTACATTATGACATTTATTGTAAATGAATAAAGTACATATTTGATTCATGTTATTGTGGTATGTTTCTATGTAATACCCTTAAACTGGATACATATGAGGCTCGTGTTAGTTTAGAATCTTCACAGCCGTTGGATGGATCTGGGGAGATTTATCCTGCCAAAGCTGACACTGATGTACCGCCAAATTGGTTGGGGTGGCTTGTCTCAGCTGCCAGGGTGAGACTTGAGGTACATGTAGTGTGGGTTTTCTTGAAACCCTGAACCAGACCAAAATTCTAGTATTGCCCTAGACCTTGGAGATAGATGGGCCAAACTAGAATGTTACACCTGACCCCTAGACTCGATTATGATACTGCACTAGGTGTCGGATTGGGCTGTCTTTGATGTGCCAATCAGTGAGATCTTTAGAGGGGTCAAAACCTGGGTATGTTGGGACAGTCCAAGAATTCATCTAAGTGGGTGATCATAGTGATAGGATTAGCCCCTTTGTCGGACAAAGTGAATGATCAGTATAATGTAGTTTCTCTGATGGAAACCTAAACTACTGGCAGTGGTTTTCAAATTTGTTTGAAATTTGGTTTTGCAAAATATATTTATATAGAGATATACTTATATATTATGGTTTCACAAATTGTTTGCAAAATGTTTTAATTCCCGGGATCCATGTGAGTAGAGAGTGCAACACTGTATATTGCAGCTGAGGGAGATGTCCTCTCTTGTCGGGCTGTGTTTGATCATGAAGGGCTGGGAGGTTAAGTATAAGACCATTGAGGGTTATATTTGATGGGCTAATCTTGCATCTGCCCACAGTCCTTGGGCCTTCATAAGATGGTTGGACCCAAGGGCCATTTAGTGTAAATGTTGGGCCCATTAAGAGCCCATAGTGATGAACTCATGTCGCTGATGTGTATATCAATGTTAAGGTTCCATACCATACAAAGAGAGTCAAGCTAGCCAAAATTAAAAGGAAGTGAATATGAAAGATAAAGATTTGGATCAGGGAATTCCTAATTCAATTAGGAATAAGCTGATCTTGAATTGCAGATAAGATAATGAGTTATCCTTATCATTTAAAGAGTTCAGATTCAAATAAAGATTTGGATCAAGAGACTCCTAATCAGATTAGGAGGTTGTATCTTTAATAGAGAGCAGGGCGGATCTGAAAAAGACACATAGACATTACAGAAGACAACTCAGTTTGATTGATTCTGGCTTCAATCATTTTTCTCCCTGCTCTTGTTGCCATACCCTGTTCGATTTCTAATTCTCGGAACTAATTAAGATTTGATCTTGATATTGTTTCTTGTTAGAAGAAACAATTCTGAAGTTGTGCTCACTACCCCATTCAATTCTTGCTAAAGAATCAAAAGGTTCTTGGTGAAGAACTACCTGTTGATCCTGTTTCATCCTAAGCTGTGTCATTTTCAGTGGAGTGAGGATTTGGTACACTCTTTGGGCGTGAACAACTGCGTTGGGAGGAGCTTTTTGTGTGGATTCCGTATCAGGTATATCCCTCCCTAATATTGGTTTCAGATTTGGTCCAATTTGGTTACAATGAACTTTGAAAATGCAATTTTCTAAATTGAAAATAGGATTCCCGGATAGGAGTAAAGAAATTTTTGAAATTTTGCCCAACCTTCCTACAGGATTCGGCCATCCATATGATAGATCTTCCATCCCTTCAAGAGGATGACTGCTCGACTCTTTCAAAATAGATTGCATATTTTCATACAGTGGCAACAATTAGGATTGATACGAAACCTCACTATCAACTCTTTTACAATAGTGGTTATATTTATGTAAATGAATTTAATCTGCCGGAAGATGATTGGTCAATTGACCAAATTAATGAGGTATCGACATCCTGTTAGAATGCTAATCATTGGGTTGCTCGGATCCAAGGAGAAAAAATTAGGAGAATTTAATGGAGTATGAAAAGGTTAACTAGATAAATATTGGAGTAGTTGTTTGAGTAAATGAAAGAGGGAGTTAAATAATAAGAGAATGTGAGAAAGTATCTAATTAAAAAAATCAGAGTGCATCAAATGATACAACCATGGTCCCTGTCAACCGATATTAGGGGTGTAAACGATACCCAAATATCTGATTTCGAATTAAATATTTAATATAATTGAATTAAATTCGAATAATTCGATTAATTTAATGGTCAAATTCGAATTAAGTTTTAATAGGATTAATTTATTGATTCGAATTCAAATATAAGCTTATTCGATTTGATAAATATTTGAATTCGATTAAATATAATGTATATATTGCATTACGTGTTTTGTATTCTTAAATATAATGTTATCAAGACTACTAAAGATACAACGGTCCTTTTTAGAAAAAAAAGGACAAAACACATTTATGATACAACAATTCAGTGATTATTAAATTATTTTTCTTCATCGAGACAATCACCCATTAACCCCTCCCTCTTCATCAAGACATTAACCCCTCTCTCTCTCCGCTTCACTTTGATAGTTTGACGACACAATTTCTTCTCCCCATCTCCTACCTGCAACTCTCAACAGAGTAGGTAACTATGGCCAAACGATCAAGTGAAGTGAAAAAACCACTAACGCCATGGATTGTTTGAGAAGCCTCAGATGTGGCCAGTTGAGGCTGGCAAACAAGACCAGGTGTGGCCAAACAATAAACTCTCAGTTGTTTCTTCTCCTCATCTCCGCTTCATCTCCCTCTCCTTTCCTCATTTTATCTTTCTCCATCTTTTTCGCTGCTTTTTAACTTGCAAGAGGTAGTATGGAGAAAAAAAAGGAGATAGCACTAGGTTTTGTTGAAGACAAATGGGTTTTGTGGCGGTCCAACTTCTGTCATTTGAATCTTAGCTTCTAACCTTTGTAGCCATTCGAGCTCTTTCATCTTTTGCTTTCTCTGATATTTTTTTATATATCTTTTTCTTTTTAGATTTTTCAGGTGTTTTTTTGCGTTTCTTTTCTTCTTATTCTAGCCTTTTGAGGTTGTTTCTTTTTTGCTCACAAATCAGTTTTTTTTCTTGTATAATGAATTTTAGATTTAGAATTTTCAATATTTATAGAATAGTCGAATTCAAATCGATTCGAATATTTGATATTCTAAACGAATTCGAATTCAATTTATATTTTTGAATGACCGACGGATATCGGATCGAATTCGAATCAGCTATACTTTAATTGGAATCGAATATGAATATCGTCTGATTCAATTCAAATTCACTCTGTTTACAGGCCTAACCGATATGAATACTGATACTATGAACTTCTTGGTCTATATATTGTGGATACAAGTGGAATGAATTGTTTCGGGCTTCGGCCGCCCTACCCATGGCACATATCCATAACCTCAAAAACCGATAATTTATACAAAAAAAACCATGGCAGAATTGGTTGACTGCAATCATTGATACAATCAACTGAACCTCTACTGTTTAATTATGTCTGGAAAAATCTATGAACCTAGTACCTGTCTCTAACTCTCTAATAAGAAATCAATTCTTGAGGAATCATTACTCTTGTATCAAGAAATACAGGCAAAGGATGCAAGGAAGTGGTCACACTCTGGTCAAACCAACCAACTTCTGCAAACAGCTTCTTGATCAGCACACCTACCACATAAGAAAGACCTGATGCTGTCAATGCAATCCCAACGTAGTACATTATGGTTTTGGAATAAGACCTCGGTGGCTTCTGAACATGGGCTTTTCCAATAGAAAGTAGAAAGATGCATAGAAGGGAGGCAACTCCAACTGTTATGAGTTTATATTCCTTGTTATTGCTCTTATAGAAAGAGAAACCATATATGACTGGTGGTAATGACCCAAAGACAAGATATGAGAGCATAACGACAATTATATGCAATAAGAAGTTCTCTCTTTGACCCAATACTCGTTGGTATCGATCAACATTATCATCTGCAGTAGTGGTCTGTCCTCCATTCTGATCATTTTTCAGTTCCCTAACCTGCAAGCATGCATGCATGGTAAATAAGCATGAACACATGGTACACATGTTCACTTACTTTTTACAAGGAAATGATCAAGATTGTAAATAACAAAAATGAAGAAAATACAGGTTTTGCACTCTAAATTCAATGCATATGCTGTACTTCAAGAAAGGGAAATGTAAATCTTTGGGATTTCATTAAGGTTCTGTTTTTAAACAAAAAAGCATTAAGGTTCTGTTTCTTCTGTATTATTTGGGGTTCTATAGTTCATACCCTAGCTTTTGTTTGTCATTTTCTTTTCCTTTTTCCTTTTTTTTTTTCCTTTGGGTAAAAGGGGAATGCACACCTCACCTCCCAAAAGGAGCAATAAATGCAGGTATTCCAGCTTTCCCTAATCTAAGTCCATCATTTGCTAGAGTTCAGGTATTGGTACAAATTTCCTACTGCCAGGCTTGGGCCTTGCTTTTGAGTCTTCCCTTTCTTTTATCATTTTTAGACCAGCTAAGACACATGTTTCGCAACTACTGTAATCCATACAATTTCCAATTCCCTCGAGACATTGAAGATTTAACCTGTTTACAGCTCAGCCTTTGTATGTAAATTATGGTATAATATCAGTCTCTTTTCTTTTTTTAAAAAACAATGGAAATAAAAAATTGCATGAAAGGTAAATCCTTGAACTGACAAATGTTATAATGCAGATTCAAGTCTGCAGGTGTCCACTTAATGATTACCCAATGTCGGTCCTGGATATCTGGGGTCTTGGGAAGGTTGGACTGGATACAAACCTAATTCTTCGGAATTTTTTTTCTCAAAGTGATCACCCTGAGATTCTAACCCTCATTCTCACACTTCTCAGCTTGACTGGGAGACAGATCTGACTAAATGGGAGATTGATTTTTCTCCTATTTGGAAATCCTTTCTTCATTCTCTTTCTAGGTTTCTCTTAGTGGCTTAGTACTCGACTATACAACCTCTAGGATGACTACTGTCATTTTCTGTGCCTTCAAATCCAAGAAAACCAGTACCAAGGTTCATGCAAGATGCATTCAATTTTCTGTTCATGTTTTCATGATTAATGAATGGGTTAGCTGGTCATGGATCTGAGTTTTGGGTACGAGTCATGGACATGGGTTTGATACAGGTAATGCATATGGATAATGGATCATGAATATGGATTAAAATGGATTTAGATATGGACAATGCTATGAGACTGGGCTTGGGTAAGGACTTGAGATTGAGTATGGTGATGGGCTTGGGCCTGCTACTTCTTCTTAGACCTGCAGCTATAAGCCTTTAATCTTGTAGATTCTTTTCCATCATTGGTGGAATGGATGGGTTGTGAATGGACAAAAGTGTATAATTCTTTATGTTGTATACATTTGAATATCTATAAATTCTATAGTAGAAGAAATATTTGTTATCTGACATAAAATAAGGACCTCTAACAAATAGCTTCAACCAATTAATTTTTGTTATCTATGACAATTGAGATGAAAATTGCATTTTGACCACATTTAATTCAACAGGACTACTTTTATGTATTTTTTAGCAGAATTAATAGAACTGTTATTGTAATGAACACCATATTGATTCAAAGAGATTAAGTTGAAAATAACTCACATTGTGAACAATAACGAAAAACCCACTAATCAGATTTGCCAATCCCAGAGCTGCAATGTTCACTGCAAAGAGTTTCTAGAATAAGTCTTTCAAAGTAATAGACCAAAAGTTAGTTTATAAAACAATAGCAGATTGCCATTGTACATAAAACCAAGTCATGGCATTTTAGTTTTGCATTGAATCTACACCACTTTCACACAAAACGGACTCATTTTTGGTTGCTAAAACAAAATAGAAATGAGTTCAGTTTGTAAATTCTTCAAAGAGCCACATTCTAATATTTTATAAACAAAGTCATGCCATTTTAGTTTTGCATTGAATCTACACCACTTTCACACGAAATGGACTCATTTCTGGTTGCTAAAACAAAACAGAAATGAGTTCAGTTTGTAAATTCTTAAAAGAGCCACATTCTAATATTTTATAAACAATTAGAGGTATTTTACTATTGTAGATATGGAGGCTTTAGATATAAATTATGCTATAGGACAATTGTTAAGATATGGCGGTTTCCTATCATTTGTTCTATTTTATTATTGTAGACCAGAATGCATGTATAACAGCCCAGGGTATTCTTGTCATTTCTCTTTAATGCTCTTACAGTGAATCCTAACTCACTCTTCTCTCTTGCTTTTTCTTCTTCTGTTTTATCAGATTCTATAACAAGCTACTTGGTATTAGATCTTTTCTTTGGGGCTTTGTGCTCTTTGGGACTGATGCCACTGGCAATCCATGTGACATCAGAGGGTGTGCAAAATGTACTTCAATGGCTGAAAATTTTACAGTTTAATAGGCCTTAATTTTTAGAGACTTGATAAATACCTTTTCAAAAACTTTTGAGGCTCAGATTTTCTGGATCTTTTTTTGTGGCCAGGTTCTTTTCACATGAGAAGTAGATGGTGAACAAGACAAGAAATGTTTGATACAGGACACAACTATGGATATGCAGAAAGTGATCTTGTATTGTTTTGAGTATTGAGAAGATGGCACTAGGTTTTCCCAACTTTTTTTTCTCTTTTTGGGTCTACAACAGATCTGCATTCTATTCTATGGATGGCATGGATACCCAGAAGGTGATAAATGTCCAATAAAAAGTGACATGACAGACATTCTTATTGGTTCTAGTATAGCTGAAATGTCTTCAAGGCAGGTAGTAAGCCTAATCAATGTGGATTAGTTAACAAAGATGTATATTGGAATCCAAAGAAAGGGTACATTAGTGGCAAGATAGAATGAAGTAGATGGGTTAAGTGGTTAAGTCAGTGATGACAAAGAATCAAAAGAAGAAACACAAGAGAAAGTTGCAGGAGGGGACCGTCAAAGTCAACAGTCCAACTTCTAGGCAGATTTTGCAGACTCACTTTCTCTTGATCCAACTATTGAATTGATCTTGAATTTGGATATTGAAACTTAAGAACTGTAGAGGAGACCTTCCAAATGTAAAGCTAATTGAACTACAGGAAGACTTTCATCAAGGGAGGTTACTGTTGCTGGATTTCTGTGTCTGTCAACAGTTGGTCAAAGTCAAAGCTAAACACACATTAATTGGGTCAGTTGTTAGTGAGTTAAAGTTAGTCTATTGGTTAGGGAAATAAGGCCAGTTTTGTCCTGTTTTCTTTGTTTCTTCAATACAAAGGAGTTTTCGGGAGTACAATTTGTAGATTCTGACGTCTTTGGTCGTGTCCAGCAACCAGGGTTAGTTTATGAAATCAACATTAATGTTTTATAGGGTCTACTAAGACTACAAGGCCCCTAACATTGTTTGCACCACTATTCATCTTATTCAATTTTGGAGAGAGCTATTTCTGCACTCTTATGTATACTTTCAAGTGATTGCCGGTAAGTTTAATATTCTACTAGATTGCTGTTGAAAAGTGAGTTGATTGTGTTATTGGTGCTTTCTTGCTATTTGTATAGGCTTTTAGGTTGCTGCTACCTACTCCGGGGCATAGTTACCTTTTCCTTTTCATTTGTAACACTTTCATATAGGTAAAACAATGGGTGCACACACCCCAAGACAATTTTTGTTTTTGATAGATGTAGAGAAGATGGGCCGAATGGCCCATAGGTTGCTTATTCTTTCTTGTTATCTATGTTTCTTTTCTGTAATGGGYCTTATTCTGGGTCCATCCAGTCAATATTAAGTTCTGTGTAAATTCTTGCCCAACTAAGGGCCTCCTTGTAATTATTCAAATATTTCTAATAAAACAGTGTTAGGGGGCTAAGAGAGAGTGAGTTCGAAATCCTCTTCTTAGACCCTCATTGCCGAACCCTCAACTCTCTTCTCTTCAGTTTTCTTCAATAGATAATGATAATAAAAATTTTATTAAATAAAGAACCAAGTATTCATCATACAATTCCCCACAAAGAGGCACGAGGTGCAACCTCCAAACTACATTATAAAGCTTACAATTGAGCCCAAAAGAGCTGATTCCTATGTACTCCTTGTTTAGTTAGAAGGTCTACCAGCCCATTTGCTGATCTTCTTTCCCATTGAACTGTGACTGAAATATTTGAAGTCAGCCACTTATATCTTCTCAAAGCCCCCCTGTACGGTCAGGCTGCTATCTCTGGTTCTTTTAGCCATCCAATAACCAATTTGGAATCACATTCAATCATTAAATGCTCCACTGCCAACTCTCTTGCATATTCTGCTCCTTGTGACACAGCTTGGAGTTCTGCATTTACAGAGTCTCCCCACCCTATAGGACCAGAAAATAGAGCTACAATCTAACCCTCATCATTTCTGAAGACTCCCCCTATTCCAGATGGCCCCGGGTTGCCCAAACTACTGCCATCAAATTTTAGTTTAATGACGCCTGCATCAGGAGGCTTCCAATCCACCACCGGCTTGCTTCTGATTGCAGAACTTTTAGCTAGTTGTTCTCAATTTCTCCTTATGTCATTGAAAGTGTAGGTGGAAAACAGATCCAAGGATTTTAC